TAGACGGCTGTTAAACTACTGTTAGACGGCTGTTAAACGGTTGTTAAACGGCTGTTAAACTACTGTTAGACGGCTGTTAAACGGTTGTTAAACTACTGTTAGACGGCTGTTAAACTACTGTTAAACGGCTGTTAAACGGTTGTTAAACTACTGTTAGACAGCTGTTAAACTACTGTTAGACAGCTGTTGTTAAACTACTGTTAGACGGCTGTTAAACTACTGTTAGACGGCTGTTAAACTACTGTTAGACAGCTGTTAAACTACTGTTAGACGGCTGTTAAACTACTGTTAGGCAGCTGTTAAACTACTGTTAGACGGCTGTTAAACTACTGTTAGGCAGCTGTTAAACTACTGTTAGACGGCTGTTAAACTACTGTTAGACGGCTGTTAAACTACTGTTAGACGGCTGTTAAACTACTGTTAGACGGCTGTTAAACTGCTGTTAGACGGCTGTTAAACTAATGTTAGACGGCTGTTAAACTACTGTTAGACAGCTGTTAAACTACTGTTAGACAGCTGTTAAACTACTGTTAGACGGCTGTTAAACTACTGTTAGACGGCTGTTAAACTACTGTTAGACGGCTGTTAAACTACTGTTAGACGGCTGTTAAACTACTGTTAGACGGCTGTTAAACTACTGTTAGACGGCTGTTAAACTACTGTTAAACGGCTGTTAAACTACTGTTAGACGGCTGTTAAACTACTGTTAGACAGCTGTTAAACTACTGTTAGACGGCTGTTAAACTACTGTTAGACGGCTGTTAAACTACTGTTAGACGGCTGTTAAACTACTGTTAGACAGCTGTTAAACTACTGTTAGACGGCTGTTAAACTACTGTTAAACGGCTGTTAAACTACTGTTAGACGGCTGTTAAACTACTGTTAGACGGCTGTTAAACTACTGTTAGACGGCTGTTAAACTACTGTTAGACGGCTGTTAAACTACTGTTAGACGGCTGTTAAACTACTGTTAGACAGCTGTTAAACTACTGTTAGACGGCTGTTAAACTACTGTTAGACGGCTGTTAAACTACTGTTAGACAGCTGTTAAACTACTGTTAGACGGCTGTTAAACTACTGTTAGACAGCTGTTAAACTACTGTTAGACGGCTGTTAAACTACTGTTAGACGGCTGTTAAACTACTGTTAGACGGCTGTTAAACTACTGTTAGACAGCTGTTAAACTACTGTTAGACAGCTGTTAAACTACTGTTAGACAGCTGTTAAACTACTGTTAGACGGCTGTTAAACTACTGTTAGACGGCTGTTAAACTACTGTTAGACGGCTGTTAAACTACTGTTAGACGGCTGTTAAACAAGGTAGATCCGGTACATGGAAGTACCGGATCTCCACAGCCTGGCCAAAATATAAGATTATCAGGAGAAGCCGAAGCCCCGCCCAGCGAGAGTCGTCTTTGATTCAGACTCGAAATCCAGACTCGAGTCTGTTGTGGTCCAAATGGAATTTTGTCTTTACTCCTGAAAGAGTGACACGCGCGTGTGTGTGTGTGTGTGTGTGTGTACTCACCTATTTATGCTTGCGGGGGTTGAGCTTTGGCTCTTTGATCCCGCCTCTCAACCGTCAATCAACTTTTGTACAGATTCCTGAGCCTACTGGGCTCTATCATATGTACATTTGAAACTGTGTATGGAGTCAGCCTCCACCACATCACTGCCTAATGCATTCCACCTGTTAACTACTCTGACACTGAAAAAGTTCCTTCTAACGTCCCTGTGGCTCATGTGTGTGTGGCCACCCGGGCTGTAACTGCCTCTTCTTCAGCCTGTCAACCACGGGGGTTCACGTTCGTATCCAAAGGACTGGGGACCCCATATTGTTTCTGGGGCAAGAGATTGAAGAGGGTTTTCAGAGAGCTGGATTTTAGGCTCGTCAACTGCTTGGTATTCTTGCGCGTGTGTGTGGCTCTCCAGAGAGGTAACGCCTGCTGTTTACTGGGTTGTGTTTGGGGTCTTAATGTAGCCGATGGGTCACAATAACGTGACTCAAGTGTGTTGACCAGACAACACACTAGAAGGTGAAGGAACGACGACGTTTCGGTCCGCCCTGGACCATTCTTAAGTCGATTGTCGATTGACGTCTTAATAATTCGAGTTGGTCACAACCTCAACCCATCCATTGTATTCCTAAATCTGCGACCAATTAATTTTGAAAAAGAAAACAAAAAATAAAGTAAAATAAGAAATAAATGATGGCAGAAGATAAGATAAACTTAACTGTGTATGAACTTACCAATGTTCCTCATACATCATTTATTATTTATGTCTGTGGAGACGAGTCTTCTCACCTGTATTAGAGAGAATGTCTCTTTCTCCAGGGCTGAAGATTAGATACTTTGCAGGGTGACCCGCATAGTCGGGTCTGGGTCTGCCCCGTTGCTCCCATTAAACGAGAACGGCTCCGAGAATGACCCCCCTACGAAATCGGTGGAGATGAATAGTTAGTAACAGAGTCCCTGGAATTTCATCATTTAAAGCTACA